GGCCCAATGGTTCTCTTCTGGTCCATAAAAATCCACAAAAGGTTCCGCGGTGTTTGGACTCCGTTTGATATTGATTTCCTGCGATGTAAAAAACAAGCCAAAAACAACAACTGACACTAGCCACTGGGTCAGTAGGTTAGTCCCAAAAAAGATATAAAGTTGCTATAAAATGATTGTAAAACATCCAAGAATGATAAAATAACAGCATGAATACTTCATAAATTATAGATATGATGGAGACGTATCAGCCCCGGCAGGCCCTGTCGAGACGTCTTGGATGCCTTCTTCCGGGGGTGACCCCGCCCTTGTCGAGATCGCCTGCCCGGCAAGGTAGGCTTTTCTCCTGGCGGTGTCTTGTCTCTTAGGCTTGATCTTGGTCCTCTTGATCTGCATGTTGGTTCTTCAATGATACTGGTCTCTTATACTCTGGCATGGCCCGGTGCTGTAATCTTGTTCCTGTGCCTGTGCACAGTCTAGGCAACAGACCCAGGGTTTGTTGCACCGACATCTGTAAAAACTGGACTAAATCAAAAACTGGTCCATGATTTATGCCTTAACTTCAACGGATAAACATAATTAGCATACTTCAAAGAGCATACAGCAGATAAAAGAGTCGTTGCTTAATTAGTTTTGGATGTTGATATTTGTTTCCTATATTATTTTTTCTGTTGTTTAACCATTGCCTAAGCTATTAAAAAAATAAAAGAGCCGTTGCTTAATTACCTCGCCTAGATCCGTGGCTTCCATCCTATTCGGTTCATCCTTATGATGTTAGAGCAGCACTGCATGAACTTAATTAGTATGTATAAGCGTAGTTTATTTCTCGCACAAGTAGCCAGCATTGTTTTCTATTTAGCGGGAGCAATCGATGCGAGCCGTTAGTCCATTTCCGTGTACTACTAATGCACGCTCCATCTCTCCGATATCAACCCAGCTCGAAGCGCCCCGCGACATGAGATGAGGGCCGGAGATAGCAGGATGGAGGCGGACCACCACCACCACCACCACGACGAGAGGTCGGCTGAGGCGGGTCATCGCCGCCATCGGTGGAAGGGACCGCGGTACAACGACAGGCAGAGGAGCTCCCCGTGGGTGTGGATGGCGGTGATCCTGTGCATGCTGCTGGCCATCGGCGTCCTCGTGTTGGGCGCCACGATGTTGGCCGTGTACTTTATCTACAAGCCCCAGATGCCGTACATAGAGGTGACCAACGCGCAGCTCTTGCAGCTCGACTACAGCCCGGCCGACGGCGTCATGAGGAACATACAGGTCAAGTTCGATCTTCTGGCCGAGAACACCAACTCCAAGATCAACACTTCCTTCTCCAGCTTCAACATCGACGTCAACTTCAACGGCACCACCCTGCTACAGCTGCGCGCCGAGACCTTCACCGTTGCCCGGGAGAGCTCCGTCACGCTGCCGTACAGCGGGGAGTCGCGCGGGAGGAGGCTGGACCCCGCCGGGATGCAGGCAATGGAGGAGGCGGTCAGGTCCGAGCTGGTGCCCATCACCCTGTCCGGCAACGCGCGGACGCGGTGGAAGAAGGGCATCTTCCTCAAGGTCGGCTTCTGGACGCGCCTCAATTGCCCCCTCGTCTTCTACTACCGCACCGGCGTCGTCGCGCCCATCGACCACGAGAGCTGCCGCTCCAGGTCGCCGTAGCACACTGCTCCTCCTCGGGCTCTGCTTCGCTCTCCTCCTCTGCTCGGCTCCGCCATGCTCTGCTTAGCACGCCAATGGCCTATACTCTGCTATTCTATTCATTATAGGCTCATCCGTCTTAGCGACAAGAACGTACATATGCAGTTCTTATACAGGCATCCCCGCAGAGGAAAATTACTTATACAGGCAAACAATGCTGATAATAGTATGTAAATAGCCGCAGCTGCGAGGAAAACTACACAGTCATGCTAATTTGTGGTTATGTACAGTACATATATTGATATATTGCGTGTGGAATAGCTCAAAGTTCCACTCCGTCTGCTTCCGTTTACAGTTTAGTTGATCTTGTTTTATCTATTTATCACCCGCGATCGAGTTGTGGTGCGAAGATCAGCTTCGTGAAAGAAGCGCAGATTATTAAGATGCAGCACGATATCAGCATGTAATTTGGCGAAATGTCTCTGTGATCCAATGAGAATTGTCAGTTCTGAAACCCTCGCCGGAACATTGTGACTTGTGAGTGGCCGTCCCGCTCAGCTGATGATTGAACAAATTCACCTGAACGTCATATTCAGCTTTCTATAGCATTTCCCTACCACTATTGGCATCACCAAAAGTACTTCATGGAAAATCATTGCCGTTTGCCGTCTAGCTAGCACGCTCCTTCTGAAGGCCAAAATCACAATCTGAATCCCCCATGAAGTAACCATAGTACCTTCTGAAGGCCAAAATCACAATCTGAATCCCCCATGAAGTAACCATAGTACCTTCTGAAGGCCAAAATCACAATCTGAATCCCCCATGAAGTAACCATAGTACCTTCTGAAGGCCAAAATCACAATCTGAATCCCCCATGAAGTAACCATTGTAAATAAATACACATCCTAGATAAACAGGAACCAAGCAACAACGAACTTTTTTTTTGCGGGAACAGAGTGCTTTCATTCCTTATTGCATGTCAATTTACATTGTCAGAACCAACAGGGTCATACAACGGATCAGGAATATGGTCTAACCAGATTCCATCTATGCCCTGGCTTCTAGCCAACAAAGCTAGCTGATGATCTGCAGAATTACACTCTCTTCCGATCTTTCTAACAAAAAGGTCATCGTGAAGATTCTTTAGCATATTGATTTCTTCGTAGGTGCTCCACAATCTTCACTTGTGATGACTCTGTAGAAGAGATGTTTTGCCAATACTCGTTGTATTGATGGGATGCTGGTGCACGTATATATAAGTACAGTGTAGGCCTCAACCTCAACTATACACAACTAGGAGGTGGG